CTAAACAGGGTCGGGGTGGCACATTCAGACGAGCCTTCAGTGCGTGGTGGTCCGACCATGGTACTGCTTCCACAGTAATCCGGTCCACCATCAACCCTGCTGCGAAGATCAAATCGAGCGTATGACCAGCCCGATGCGTGGGAGCCGATACGTACTGAGAGAGTCCCAGATGCCAGCTACCCTTGGGATGAGCCGCAGGCTGGAAGGACACCGAGCCCTTTTGTTTCTCAGTGGCCTTCCCTTACTATACTGCCTGGGCCCACCGCTATACTTTCCTCTCCCCACGAGCACCGGAATGTTTTGGCCAGGCATTGCCATCTCAGCAGGTCTCCACAGGAGCTTCAGACCACTGATAATTAGCAGGTGCCAAGCCTCACAACGGCAGGACAGAACTTAATATTACTGATGCTAATTTAACTAACTCTTACTCTGCTATAAAACTACATAACAACTACACAACTACACAACAACTACTCCTGGTCAACCTAGCCATTCACTAGAGTTCCCACACCCACCCCAGCAAATAAAATCCTCCTACAAGCTCCCTTACAATCCTAATACACAGTATTAGCAGACAAAAATCCTCAAACTAACTCCCTAGCATCAGCAGTTACTCCAGTTCAATGAGAGGTCGCAAAGTCCTGATGTCCTTCCTGGTAGCGCCACTAAGGGCACTACCCTCTCCCCACGTTCTCCAGCTGCAGTCTCTATTCCAGGCTCTGTTCCACAGCACTGATCTTCCCAGTACAACAACAACACAACTGCCTACGTGGAGGGGAAAGCAGCCACCAATCTTAGTTCTAAATCTAGCAGCCTTCCCTGCAGTGGCTAATAGCTGAGATCTGGCATTCTGCACTGACTGTGGAGTTTATGAATTGGTTTTGAGGACAGAGCAACAAAGTCTGAGTCCAGTGGCGCCTTAAAGACAAAGTTTTATTCTGGGTATAAGCTGTACCTATCAAACACATCTCTTCGAAGGCGCCTCCCCCACAAAGATTTAATCGTTGCAAGGTCTGTTAGCCTGAAAATGTGACTGGCTAAAAGGCATCGCAGGAGCATCCAGGGCTAGTATGGATCTGAACCCAGAACCACCCAGCCACAACTCTGGCTCTTGGACTTAACTGACCCACATCATGAATTGGGTTGGGTTCACTCATGCAGATCAGCTGTGGCCCCAGGTGCGAATCTCAATTGTCTGGAAGAGGATTTCTTATTTAGAACTTTCTATACAATTGAACAAAGACATGCCACACTAACCTTTGACACATTTAATGAAGTCCAACTCAGTAAGAAAAAAACCCACAAAACTATTTAGCGTATGGCGGAATTACACACAGGAAGCATATCATAATATAAAATACATAATCAAGTTGATACAATGGGTACGCAGACCAATTGGACAATACCCCTAAATACAAATTCCTAAATTTTCAATCCTCTCAATCACAGCTGGGGAGAGTTCGAAGAGCCCACAAAGCAAAGAACACACAAAGTCTAATTACCTGATACAAACAATAATATCTTTAATGAGCTGTGACTCTTCCTTAGCTGAGTATTATTTTCTCTGATTCATAAAGAAACAATTAATCTAGGGATGCCAACTGCCTGGAGGGAAAAAGTGTGCTGTCCCTTTTATGGGATGTCATTTATCTCTTCAGATACCCCATTTCCACGCACATTAAGCCTCTGGGAACGAGGGAGGATATTTCCCCCCCCTTTGGGCCTCTTACCAACTCTAATGCAGATACCTCTCCAAAACAAAGTAAGGAGACGGAAAAATAATTTTCTCAGTTTGTTCCATAATGGCCCAATCTCAATGGAGGAATTCAAGGGGCCTCTGAGGAGGAAGACGTGGTGGGAGGACGCCTTGGCCGAGGGCTCAGTCCGGGTCTTTTCCAGCTCATGGATGGGGTTTCTGTGTTCAGTGCAGGAGGAGGGAATCCTACTTCTCCCTCCTGATTCTCTCTGTGAGAATCTGGGGGTGGGGAGGATAACTTGGACTGGGGAATTTGTTCACCTGCCAACTCCATGGATACTGGTCCATGTCCACGATACTGGCTGTTGTTGTGGAGGGGGGAGGGTGTCTAACCCCTTAGAAATTACTGAGTTGTTGGGTTAGGGGACACAACCTTTCCCTTTCAACCCAAATTAATCCTACTGCCTAAATGTTTAGGGCTTCAAAGTGGTGAGACCCCCAACAACCTCAAAGCAGGCTGGACTGGGGAGGGATTAGGGTTGAGAAATGCCTCTCTAGGACTGCTTGTCAGATAAAAATGTTTGTGAATTAAGGATACCAGCTGGTCACACTATGGTTACACCTGTAGGAGAGAGACTGTACGTATCCGTTACCCTCTAAACTTGTCTATTGCTTTGGGAAAGGAACTGTTTTTGCCAGTTTTGAAGATGCCAGAGTTAGAATGGCAGATAACCAGAAGTAGCAAGTTTCAAAAAGGAGGGGGGAAACGAAAGAGGCCTTTCTTTGTGTAACAACCTTCTCAACCTGTATGAAATTCCAGCACCAGGGCCAGCAATAGGAATGTTTCACCCTTCAATGCATTCTTTGAGGAGGATGAAGATCAGACCTCTGCCTCAAGCTCTTCCCACACATTGAGCATTGAGAAAGTTCCTTCCCTGGGAAGAGTCCTCAATGTTAAAGGAGAGAGCAGCTGATTCTTCTTGCAGCAGAAGCCATTGCCCATCCTTACTTTCTTCCCTTTGAGATATTTTTGGGGTTTTAAATATGGTGAAAGCTCTTTCCACACTGTATTTGTAACATTTCCTCCTGGGTAGCTTAAGGTTTCAATGTACATTTATGCTTCTTACAGCAATTTTTACATTTTCAATACTTTACATGTTCTGTTATCTTTAAGGTGTGAAATAGGAGAAAAGTTCTTTTCACAACTAAGCAGTTACATCGTTTCTCCTTGCATGGGATCCTCGAAGGAGTAGAAATGTGTCACTCTGAGTGAATCTCTTTCCACGCTTTGAGCATTCCACAGGTTTTCTCCTCTGTGTGGCTACTTTAATGCAGTAGAAGATTGACACTGGTATTGAATATCTTTTCACACCCTGAGCCGTCAAAAGGTTTCTCCCCTGTGTGGGTTCTCTGATGCCGTTGAAGATGGCCACTCTGACTGAATCTCTTTCCGCACTCTGAGCATTCAAAAGGTTTCTCACTGGTGTGAGTTCTCTGATGCTGTAGTAGACTGCCACTCTGACTAAATCTCTTTCCACACACTGAGCATTCAAAAGGTCTTTCCCCTGTGTGGGTTCTATGGTGCTTCCGAAGACTGCTATTCTCACTGAATCTCTTTCCACAGTCTGAGCATTCAAAAGGTCTCTCCCCTGTGTGGGTTCTCTGATGCTCTTGAAGATGGTCACTCCGACTGAATCTCTTTCCACACTCTGAGCATTCAAAAGGTTTCTCCCCTGTGTGAGTTCTTTGGTGCTTCCGAAGATCACAACTGTAACTGAATCTCTTGCCACACTCTGAGCATTCAAAAGGTTTCTCCCCTGTGTGGGTTCTTTGGTGCTTCTGAAGATGGCCACTATAACTGAATCTCTGTCCACACTCCGAGCACTCAAAAGGTTTCTTCCCCGTGTGGCTTCTCTGATGCTGTAGAAGAGCGCTACTCTGACTGAATCTCTTTCCACACTCTGAGCATTCAAAAGGTTTCTCCCCTGTGTGGGTTCTTTGGTGCTTCCGAAGATCACCATTGTAACTGAATCTCTTGCCACACTCTGAGCATTCAAAAGGTTTCTCCCCTGTGTGGGTTCTTTGGTGCTTCCGAAGATCGCCACTGTAACTGAATCTCTTGCCACACTCTGAGCACTCAAAAGGTTTCTTCCCCGTGTGGCTTCTCTGATGCTGTAGAAGAGCGCTACTCTGACTGAATCTCTTTCCACACTCTGAGCATTCAAAAGGTTTCTCCCCTGTGTGGGTTCTGTAATGCAGTAGAAGAGTGCCACTCCGACTGAATCTCTTTCCACACTTGGAGCATTCAAAAGGTTTCTCCCCTGTGTGGGTTCTCTGATGAAGCTGAAGACTGCCACTCCGACTGAATCTCTTTCCGCACTCTAAGCATTCATAAGGTTTCTCCCCTGTGTGGGTTCTCTGATGCTCTTGAAGACTGCCATTCGAACTGAATCTCTTTCCACACTCTGAGCATTCAAAAGGTCTCTCCCCTGTGTGGGTTCTCTGATGCAGTTTAAGACTGCTAGCATGCCTGAATCTCAGTCCACACTCTGAGCATTCAAAAGGTTTCTCCCCTGTGTGGGTTCTAAAATGCACCTGAAGATGGCCACTCTGACTGAATCTCTTTCCACACTCTGAGCATTCAAAAGGTTTCTTGGCTCTCTGTATCCTTTGGTGTATGAAGAGCTGTGATCTGTTTCTCAAGTAGTTTTCAAACCGAATGGATTTACTTGCCTTTATTATCTGGTGTTTTCTAATATCTTCATTATGACGTCTTCCATCTCTCTTCTCAACCACATGACCGACTGTCTTTCTCATTGGTCCACGTTGATTCCTGACGTTTTCTTTCAAGTCTACAGTTTTAACTTTATCTGGCATATGCTGATGAACTTCCTCACGCACTTCATCCCTCTGATCATCCTCTGCTGAGTAAAGACAGAGATCCTGTTAGCACCTGGGAGGGCGGTAAGGTCCAAAGGCAACTATGTGACTGCCGTAGGAAAGGATGGACGACGGCCCTTTGGCAGCCACCTTGGGTGACCTTAACCACCTCTCCACATTTTCCCCAGAATATCTTGCATTTAAGGACTCCTCACCCCCTCAAGTGCCACAGCTGAGCTTTTGCCTACAAGGACCTTCTGAGCCTCCAGATTTCAGGCCCTCCCTCCTTCCCCTTTCGGCTGCATGATTGTACAAATCGTAACTCAGAAGTGAATCAGAAATCCCTCATGGCACTTCCTTGCCTTTTCCCTTGACATAACCGTGAAGGATACTCACTCTCAGCCAGCTCATTTGGGAAGGAAATATGTTCTTGGGATCCTCTTGAGGAAATCGTCAGCCTTTCTTTAGATGCAAGGCTGTTGTCTATCTCCACCGAAGTCTCTCTTATCCTCCTGCCTTCATTCACAGAGAGAAAGAGAGAGAAAGTGATCATTCTTATACAGGGAAGGAAAGAAATTCAAGAGTAATAACTCTTCTGGAAGGATGAAACCGTCGTCAACATCAAAGCCCACAATCCCAACCAGTATAAGGGGAACAGATCTGTGAGGCAAAGCATGCTAGTTTCCCCAAGGGTTTACGTGATTATTAAGTGGCCTGGTCCTAGTTGCAGGTGTTTGTGACTTGAATCTTCTTGCAGCTGACATCCTTAACTTTTTCAAGGCTGAACTCAAGAATGCAGTCATTGGTTAATAGTAATTGGCTAACCATGAGAACCTGTATCCAGCAGTGTTACCAGGAGGGAGGGGGAATTAGGAGGGTACTGACAGCCTCTGGAAAATTCCATCAAGAAGGACCCTTGATTGGGTTGTTAGGACCACCTGTCCCTAGAAGGTAGAAAATATAATACACATATAGACAGGAGGGAAGCCAGGCTAACTTAATGCTCATGCCATGCTAGTATGTCTTGATATTTTCTTCCTGCATCATGATGAATAGTTTTCTGTGTGAGGTTGATAAAAGGAAACACAGGCTGCGGCAAATGAAATGCAAGTCTGTGTTCAGGCAGGCTAAAAGGGAATATGAGGAGCATACTGCAAAAAGCATGAAGACCAACAAAAATCTGTCTTCAAATACATTAGAAGCAGGAAACCAGCCAGGGAAGCAGGGAGGCCCTTGGATGACCAAGGGATAAGAGGATTACTGAAGGACAATTGGGAAATGG